GGGGGCCCGGCGGGACCCCACCCCCACGCAAGGCCGCAGTCCTGCGGGGCCCGGCCAGCAAGCTCTGGTGTCGTTTGTTTGCAGGGACCTGCTGGTGGGGGCGTCAAAGGAGAGAAGGTGAGTCTGGGGAGAGCGAGGGGGTGGTCACAGGACAGAGGTCACGGTCACAGGGCAGAGGTCACGGTCACAGGGCAGAGGTCACAGTCACAGGGCAGAGGTCACGGTCACAGGGGCGGTCGTGGGGGCTGTGGCGTGATTGCTGATGTCTCTGTCCCTCCAGGGAGAAGTGGGGCCCAGAGGCGCTGTGGGAGCCAAAGGGGAGCCGGTGAGTGAGGGGGTGTTGGGGGGAGGGGGTGAAGGCTCCCGGCCCCGACTGCTCATTCTCCCACCCCCAGGGCCCTCCTGGCTTGGCTCTTCCGGGAGACCCCGGCCCCAAGGGCGACCCTGGGAGCCGGGTGAGTAACTGTGGGGAGAGGGGGGTCAGAGGAGGGGGTGTCTGGGAGACCAGCTAAGTCCTGTGCCCCCCGTGCCCCGCAGGGCCCCATCGGCCTCACTGGCAGAGCTGGACCCCCGGTGAGTGCCTGTGACCCGGGTGAGGCCAAGGTGTTGGGGTCCCCTCTCCTCCGGGGCTGGCCGCCACACGCAGCCCCGTTCTTGCCTCCTCCTCAGGGTGACGCGGGGCCACCTGGAGAGAAGGGCGACCCTGGGCGGCCCGGCCCCCCAGGACCTGTCGGCCCCCGAGGAAGAGACGTAAGAGGGCTGTGTGGGGGTCCCGGGATGGGGGTTCTGGGATGGGGTGTCCTGGGATGGGGGTTCTGGGATGGGGTCCTGGGATGGGGGGTCCGGCATCTCCGGGGTCCCAGGACCTGGCTGACCCCCACGTCTCACAGGGCGAAGTTGGAGAGAAAGGCGACGAGGGCCCGCCGGTGAGTCCCCCTGCCCTGTGGGTTCTTGCCCTTTACCCTTGAACTGTGACCCTGGGCTGGGACCTCCCCCAGGTCATCAGTCCCCCCGCCCCCAGCCTGTCCGGCCATGCCCAGGGCCCAGGCCCCGAGCTCGTCTGAGCTGGGATGGGGGTTCTGGGATGGGGTGTCCTGGGATGGGGTGTCCGGCATCTCTGGGGTCCTGTGGTGGGGTGACCTGGGATGGGGGTCCTGGGATGGGGGGTCCGGCATCTCCGGGGTCCCAGGACCTGGCTGACCCCCACGTCTCACAGGGCGAAGTTGGAGAGAAAGGTGACGAGGGCCCGCCGGTGAGTCCCCCTGCCCTGTGGGTTCTTGCCCTTTACCCTTGAACTGTGACCCTGGGCTGGGACCTCCCCCAGGTCATCAGTCCCCCCGCCCCCAGCCTGTCCGGCCATGCCCAGGGCCCAGGCCCCGAGCTCGTCTGAGCTGCGCTCACCACTCCATGCGCTCTCTCTCCATCCCAGGGGGACCCAGGTTTGCCTGGAAAAGCTGGCGAGCGCGGCCTGCGGGTGAGGCACAGCAGGGGAAGCGGAGATGGGGGGCCTGCAGGAGGGCGAGGTGGTGGGAACCACTGGGGAGAGAGGCCGGTGAGGGCGACCCTGCAGGAGGCGGGCAGTGACGGGAAACCCTGCATGGCTTTGGGGTGATGGGGAACCTGGGACGGTACAGGGCGACGGGGGTCCCTGCGAAATGCCAGGAGGCTTTGGCTCAGACCAGCTGCCTCCCCAGGGGCCACCGGGAGCTCGGGGGCCTGTGGGTGAGAAGGGAGACCAGGGAGATCCCGGAGAAGACGGGCGGAACGTGAGTCCTCACCTCTGACCCCTGACCCCTGACCCCAACTTCCATCCCAACCCCTGATCCTGCCACCCCAACCCTGAAATGCTGCCCCCTCACAAGCCTCATTTCCTGCGACCCCCTCGTCACAACCCCCAAAGGCCAGCAGAATCCCCTGAGTCCTTGGGGTGCTCCCAGAGCTCCCCGAAACCGCTGCATAAACTCAGTGACCTTGACCTCTGACTTTCTGCAGGGCAGCCCCGGACCCTCTGGGCCCAAAGGGGACCGTGGGGAGCCGGTGAGTCGTACAGTGTCTGGGCTGGGGGTGGGGGGCCTGGGGATTTCTAGTCTCGAGCTGGTCAGCGGCCACATAAGGGGCCTGGGGTCAAGGTGGGGAGCGCTGATGGTCACTCCAGGCCTGCCTGGGCCTCCGGGGCTGGCAGTGGGGGCTGCGGGGTCTCTGGGAGGGCAAACCTGGGCCAGGCCCGGGGCCTCAGGGCTCAGGGATGACCGCGACTTCCTTTCTCAGGGGCCCCCAGGACTCCCTGGACGGCTGGTAAGGGCTGAGCTCGGTCTGGTCCTCTGTGGTCCCCTCTCCGACCCATTGGCTCCTCGCTGTGCCCCTCATCCCTTCCCCTGACTCCCACGCCCCCCGTGCCCCCCGGTATCTGCATTGACCCACAGCCCGCCGCGGCCCCATCTGCCCCACCAGCTGCCTCCCTGGTTGAACACCCCTCCCTGTCGCTCCCCCGCAGGTGGACACGGGAGTCGGAGCCAGAGAGAAGGTATCAGGGTCTGTGGGTGGAGCGAGGCTGAGCACAGGGCCGCCC